AAGCTTGCGCTTCCTCTCATCTTCTCTATTTTTATAAGCGACAATGTATTTCTCTGCACCTTCAAGAACTCTCTCAACTCTGGCTTTACCCTCTTCTGTTTTGCTCAACTCGTTTGCAATTCGTGCCTTGCAAACTCTGCTGCGCTGACGATGTGCAAGTCCACTTTGAGCTGCCAAGAAACCATCACACCCCTCAGTGTATCCGAACTGCTGCAACTCAACATCACGACAAATGTAGAGACCTCTTGGCACATAGTCCCTACCCTTCACTTTCACCACTGGCTCGGGCATCTTTGGCGCGTCCGCCAACTCAATCTCCACTGGTCGCAATGGCCCCCGATCTGGAGCTGCAGGTGGCTTAAATTGCCAAGGCAACCCAATCAAAGATTCCAATGCAGACTTCGTCCATTGCTCCTCTCTGGGCTTTCTCTAAGCTCGCTCAACTCCTCGATCAGTTCCAATCCACTTCAAGGCTGCGCCCTCCTGCAAACCCAGATACACCCCATCTTCAAAAAGAGGCGCGATCTTGGCGGGATTCCGCTCTCCTTTCAATCTCTGAAAAAGAACGCATTCCCCAAACGCAGGAAGTTTCAACTGCCATCCTTCACCTGTTGACCTTTCATAAGGAATCCTGCCATCTTGTCCTCTACTGAATCGAGATAGCAAGGTCCCAGCATAATCAATCAACCAAGGCAAGATTGGATGTCGAGAAGATATGTCGGTCCCATAGTTAGCCTCCAAAGCTGACTTCGGGGTACGACACATTCCCTTCAGCATACCCACCGCATTCTCAATGGGTCCATTGGTCTCACTCTCCCCTTTGACAGCATCCTCAAAGCCAACGCCGGGGAGTCTCGCCTGGACCTCATTGCGAAGTGCCACCAAAGACCGTTCTGTATCAGTCTTCAACACTGCATCCTGCAAGCCCAAACAACGAAGCAACTTGACAACAATGGTCACCGGATACTGATGATCTGTAACCCCTTTGCACGGCATGGCCACTGAAAAAGTTCTTTGCGACTTCTCCTCCAAGATTGCTAGAAGAGGTAAACACTCCTCCTCCCGCCGTCCAAGATAAAAGTAGTCCATGCTCACCCGAGGCCTTCTCCTTGCTTTGTCGTCAGCATCTTCACTCAATCGATGATGCGCTAGCGCTCGTCCACGGCCCCTAAAACAATGACTGCACCAACTCCGCAATATGGCAAATGAGTAACATTGCGCTCATCCACCTCCTGCACACTGGGTTTCAAGGGTGAACTCTGCGCAATCTTTTCGATCTCTTCACCCCCACTCAATTCTCCATGCAACTCCTCATCGACACCTCCCGCGGGTGCCTCATAGTCATCCCAGCCCTCTGGGAAATAGTCACTGGTGTCTACGTTCAAGCGCACAGGACCTGCACCATAAACATCAGAACTTGGATGCACTGCTAATTCATTGGTCTCATCACGAGCCGCTGTCGTCTCCTCCTCCACGAATGAAGAACGACCGATCAGGACTTTGGATTGCTGGAGGCACAATCCACGGTGCCGGCCCGCTGAAACCCTCACGGGAAGGATGCACAACATGCATCCTCTGCACATACACACCTTCTTCCGCTCTCCTGTGTCAATCTCCTCAATCCAGCTCTCCTCCCAATAAGGTGCCAACATAATCCGATGTCCACGATTGGTAACTTGGGCGGCCGACAGGAGGACCTTGTGCACTTGAGCAATGCTGAACTCTGTCCCCCTCACCTTCCCCTCTTCTGTCACGATGAGGGGCTTCACTCGATACAACTCTGGAACAATCTCTCCATTCGCACTCAAGAAACTCACACCGTTAACTGGGGCCAACTGCTCATGCTCTGCAAAAGCTTCTGCTGGGGCAACTGACGCTGCTGCTCCTGAACCAACTGTCACTGTCAACGGACATGCACCTTGGAGATATTGCTCAATGCAACGCTCCATCTCACCAAAACGACCCTGCTCTGCATCTGCTACAATGCGCCTCGCAATGGCTTGCGCCCTGCTCAATGCACACAAGTGTTTGATGGTCAAGCTCCCTGTGTTCACTGGTGGCTGTAACAACCACCTCCCTTGCTCGCCCCAACTGACCCAACATCCATTGTTGTTGATGCCACAGGTGCCACTTGCTCAATGTAACTCATCGCTTCCTCACGGAGTTCAAGGTATGTGGTGTATCTTGCGGCGTTCATATGCAAGTGCTGTTTTAATGCATTTGGAGCCATGTGAACCAATGCAGCCATCTTCATAGCATCAGAAACACGATCAGCCCCTGGCCTTGACTCATACAGCACGGTCAAATATCCCAACTCACCAACTCTGCCGCCAACCTATCAATGCCGATCGCTGCCGGTGGATTCGTGATCTTCATGAGGTCAGCTCATTGACGGCCAATAGTGACCGGGTTGAACCTGATCTGCAACAACCGGAATGCTTCGAAGCCGTTGGGCCTCCGTGCCTGCCGAACAAGACTCCTGGCCTCACCCAATGTGTATGTAGTCAGCATTGCATAAACATTTGTATCTGCATACTGTACCAACAGAGGGTCCAAGTGAGGAAAATGCAACAAGACATCGCCTTGTGTCATGGGTGTCTTCTGTTGTGATGTTGCAATCCATTCCAACACTTCTTAAATACCAGGCATGTTTGAATCGCTCAATGTAATGATCCTATCCGCCCAATCCAAAAAACTGCTCTTCCCATCTGTCGGATTAAACACTCCAGGCTTGCCCAACTGCTTACTGTCGACTCCACCTTGTTGTATTGCATATGCGACAGCCGGACTGGTCCTGAAACTTCCGGAACTCGGACCCCCAATGTTGAACACTTGAGGACCTCCCAACCCAGCTGCTCCGGCCCCCGCCATCCCTCCAGCAACCTGTGACCCGGCTGCAGGCACACCGGCATGCACAGGAGGGGGGTGATGCACGGGTGAACCACCACCTCCTGGGGTCTGTTGTCCTTGTGATTGCGGAGGATTCGGAGCTGGGTTCAAACCTGTTGCCAACTGAGCCTGCTGCTGCTGCACCTGTTGGATTGCTTGACCCATCTGTTGCATCTGGTCCTGCAATGTAGTCAAGATCGTCCCAACCTGTGTCAACTGCTCCTGACTCTGTTTCTGCTCATGATGAAATCCTGCTTGTACCTAGGTTACCACCTCAGTCACAACTTGCTCTGTAACAGCCTGTGTAGCTTGAACCGCCGTCCCAGTACCCTGCAGCTTGGCTCAACGATTCAATCTGTGCTCTCTGCTGCTGTTGCTCCTGAAGCATCTGTTGTAAAGCCGTGGTCAAGGCTGCAAGATCTGGTTGCGCCCCGTCTGTCGCCATGACCGAAAAGTCAAGTCCAACAATGAGCCCAACAAATATAATCAATGCAATCAACGTTTGCAAACCGACCCAACTCCAGCGTACCCACCGTGCTTCACCGAGCACGACCACTCCGGCTGAGCGCTCCCGCTCTAAAGGTTGGGGATCTGGAGTCCTCCGAACCCTCATGCCATTGCTGCTGATTGTTCCAGCTCCGCTACCATGCGAAACCGTTCGGGCACTTTTCTCGGCTCGGACAGAACAGATACTACACAAGATCATAGCCATAAGGCCTTGACCTCAACTCTTGACACCCACCTTGTCCTATTTTAATTAAGCAAAGTATCTTTAAAAAATACGGAATATGCTCGAAGAAGAGGCTGCGCAAATGCTCCGTATTCAAGCAAGACACCATGTTGAGCAGTGAAAAGCAACAGGCCAGTGTCTGCCAAGAACTCTTCCTTGGCTACAAGTGGCGAGGCTAGAGTCAAGACAGGTTACAAAACAAGTGGAAGCGCACCAATCAAAAGGATGTAGAACAGGGGTCTGTGATTCCCGCCTATGATTGCACGTGGACCCACAAGCCACTTAAAACTTATATATATATATATATATAAACATGTCTTGCTTTTGCTTGGTTCCTTTTCCCTTTCAAATGCTGGCCCACCACACAACAAGCGGCACGGAAACGTGAATCTGCTAGCATTCCGACAGGATGCAGTGCTCTGGCCCTCTCCAGCTAGCACAAGCCACATCGGAAATCTGGTCTGAGGTACAGTCACTGGAGGCACATAAATCACTGCCTTGGCCCATGACTGGAGGCAAGGGCCGTCCTTTAGCGTTACGGGATATATTAGGATAGACTACTGTATATATATATATATATAGCCGTGTCTGCTCCACATTTCGCTTGAAAAACTTCAACCAGTCAACCCCACCTCTCGCTGGATGCCCTGGTCCTGCATGTGCATCTGCTTCGTCCTGCCTTTCTTTGCGCATAGCTGGGCATAGACCTAAGCACTTCGAATCTTTCAAGTTATATAATGCTCATGAATAGGGCTGCAAAGACCGGCTTCCGCAATTGGTAGTGGAATTTATGAATGTCCAGAGAACCCCTTTCTCATGAATCAACACAACATCCCCAACATCGGAAGACACTCAGAAACTCTGAACACTTCTCGGGTCTGGCATCAAACTGCAGTCACCTCCCTGTGCTCGAGAAAAATTGCACGCTGTATTTGTAGCTGAATCCGAAGGTTCCCAACTAAGGCTGCTAAGGAAATGCAAACATTGGCAACATTGCGTCAAGGTCTAGTAGCGGCGTAGAACAGCTCATGTTTGCAACCCAGACACTGGCAGCAATGTCAACAAGGCCCGCCATACAAGCATGGGGGCATGGGGCAAATGTCGTTTCTTTTCTGCAACTCTGTCGAGAATATCCATGTTCTGGTTGCTGGTCGCTTGTTTGGCAAGGTGGGGAGACGCTTCCTCTGTGAAGTTCATGGAGTCTTTCAGCTCTCAGGTGTAATAATAGGCGTCGCACTTTCACAAACCCAATCCACTACGATCTGAAGTGCAACTTTGGCACCAGCTCACCCCAAAGGCTACCCCGGGGTCGAGCGTCGAAATACACTCCACCAAAGAGGCCGCAGAAGCTACGCATCGCAATCTGATTCGAGGCCCCGGCTGACACCTCGCCGGTCTGCGGATTTGGGGCCTTGGCTAGCGTTTTGCAACTGAAAGATTTCATGCTTGACCCAAGCTCACCCTACAAGCGCACCGGTCAAGTCAAAAGCCCGGGTAAAGTCAGAGCAGCCCTGTGGTTCAGCGCCTTTCAGCACAGCAATGCAAGCAGGGAAGGCAATGCACAGAGTGAGAACCCCCATGACAACCATACTCAACGCCAGTTAGGCAAGCGTTTTGTCCTGAGGGTACATATCTCTATGTGTATGACACATGCTGCGCTTTGCCCTGAGCCTACTTCAGCCGCTGCGCTCC